TCTTTTCAGACCTTCCCAGTTCAGACAACGGCATTTGAACGGCAGGGAAGGTCCCAGCACTCACAGGACAGGGCAGCCCCTGAGCCACGCACACCACGGCGGCCGTTTGGGTTCTGGCCCCGCTGGTGCCTCCGACGGGAGGCAGGCAGGGCCCTGCCCCACACAGCCGACACCGGACAAAGCGCCTGGCTGTGCCGGGGCCTTCCCGCCGCCACCCTGCCTGCTCGGCTCTCTGCTCCAAACCGCCTGCTTCCCTGCTCATAAAACATGTCCTGTTTTGGAAACTTAAATGATCTCCCCGACCCGACAGTGAGGGAACGGGTCCCAGAGAGACGCGGGGGGAAAAGCCAAGAGGAAACAAACAGGCCCTTTCCCCTGAGGAAAGGAGCGGCCAGCGTGGGACTCCTGGTGCCGGCGCCGTGGCTCTGCCTACGGAGTTTCCTTCCCGCTCTCCAGACCTGCCCTCTCCTGCTCCCGCACCCCGGCTTACTTGGCGAAGTTGGCGAGGTTCTGGGTGACCTTGGCAATGAGGGTCAAAGTGCGTGCAGTGCGGTCATCCGGGTACTCCTGCAGGAGACTGAAGAGGGACGGGGACATGATGGCCGGACAGAGGAACCGGAGGAACAGGGAGGCACTGATCAGTCGCTCGCTGATGTCCGGGCGGCCTCGGTTGCTGCATTCCTGTCTCCATGAGGCAAAAACTTCTTTGAGCTCCCTTGGGAAGACACTGAAACGAGAGATGGACACGCAGGGATGGGAAGTTCAAGGCCAAGGCATTCAAAGCGCCACAGAGCAGTGACTAAACACGGGGCGTATGCGCAGTGGGACACGACACCCAGACCTGTACAACGGTAGAGCCCTCTCACGCTGTTGATCCACAGCAGCACTGCTACCTACACCAGTCACAGGCTCTCGTCCTTTTTTTTGCAGAGTGTCTATCAAGAGACTCAAATCGCACAGGAAAAAGCAAAGCCGCTCCGTAAAGTTGTAAGAGAAGCAGCTTTCATCAGACTGACGTTCCTGGTTGTGCTGGGTGCCAAAACCCCAGACAACAGGGAAGCCAGAGGTATCAAACAGACTGTGCAAAGGAGCTCATCGCAAGCCAGCTGGCTGCGTCACGGGGCACTTCGAACCGGGGGGAAGCTCAGCCACCAAGGCGGAGAGTGTCTCCTGAAGAAACGGCATCGTGGGACCCCCTCGGCAGAAACACCAGCAGTACTGGGGTCACCGGCACAGTTGGTGCTTGGAGGGAGGGCTGTGCAAATTCTAATACTCCTGTCCAAGCACCTGGATCAAATCCCACTGTCACTAGTACAAACGCAGAGCCACAGCGGAGCTACTCCAGCCCTGTAAGTGCACAGACCTCAGCCTGGCTTTCCCGGATACCAGAACTCCCCCGGGTCCAGCAGACGCTCACTGCACAGCCCTTATCGCCAGGGAACTTGCTGCCTGTTTCTGCTCGGCCCGCCCCAGCTCCCTGCTCCCACCTTATCCTGTTCCCAGCATGTGTTATTTATTCAGCTGGATACTCCCACCAACGGGACAGGGCTGGCAATGGGTCCCACCGCGCTGGCGCTGGTCCCCTGGGACCCCGGTACACAGCTCTCCATCCGCCCCGGAGGCTGCCCTGGCCAGCAACCACCGTCTGCGTTTCAAAACCAGAGCTGTTTATGGACAGAGCTGGATGGTACAAAAGCAGGCTGAAGAGGGGTCAGACTCCATTTTAGGCCATAAATCTCCTTAACAAACAGCCATTTCAGAGGACAGTGTCCCAGTTTTGCTGCAGGGACTATCTGGGAGAAGCAAAGCACTGTCAGCTCTGGCCTGCCCCCCTCTCTGGGACTGACTGCCCTGCGGCTGAACCTCACACAAGTTGGGAAGAAGAGAAAACCATGGCAGTCGCATGGCCAGAGCCACCATCCCCTGTCCAGCAGCTGCAAGAACCAGGTGAGAGGCTCCGAAAGAGAGGAGCACTCGGAGCAAAGAACCCGTCCATGCACGCTGTCCCTGGGTCTGGGGCTGCTGCTGTGAATCCCAGCCAGTGGGCCCCCCGCCACGCACTCCCCACCCCAGGCAGCCCACTCAGCACAGCACTGCTGCACACAGAGGCCCACGTAGCTGCACTCCAGGTTTTCCAGGTTTCTCTCCGACCTCCTGACACGGCCGGTGACACTCCACGGAAGCGCTTGGCAAACGCTGCCATCACGTTCAGCTTCTGCGCCGTGCTGGCTTCATGCTTTCACACTCGTGTGCTTTATAAATAACGTTAGCCAACGTCTTTGGCTGGATAAATTCTCCTCTGTCTTTGGCTTGATCCACACAATTGGACAAAGCCCTTTTACTTCATGGTATTTGCCCAGAAACAGAGAATCCTTTAAGCAATTTAAGGCTTGAATGATCAGGACAGGTTGTACGGTTACTGGGAAGTAAACCCTTGAAAATGTATGCACCGGCTGCATACAGCCCGTGAGTACTGTTCACCGTCACAGGCTGGGAGACCATAAAAGTTTAATTGTGTAACAGCGGATGGAATTCAGTTAGCCGGCTTTATGTGACAAACGGGCCCGTAATTCATTACCCAACTTTCCAGTAACGAGCTTCCACATGCTGAAATTCTGCTTACACTGAAACTTTCCAGATGTCCAAATTATGTCATAATTATAACAATTTTCAGTTATTGTAAACCTCTTTCCTCTCTCTGACTCTCTCCGGCAGATGAGCATGCACACTCTGGCACTCTATTTAAAGCAAAATCGTTAGCTGTCAGGATACCTTGGCCAATCCCGAACACTCATCAGCCCAATTAATCCCCAAGAACCGCTGAGCACAAAGGACCGAGGGGGAACCGCTCAGAGTAGCAGCTCAGCTGCTCCAGCCTTCCTTGGAAAAGCAGGACTGGAGAACAAAGGTCCTGTGCACTCCTGACTTCCCTTAGGTCACTTTTCAAGCCTGTTTTTAGCGTGACCTTTCAGTGCTGCTTTGGGTGTTTTTAGGAAGATACTAATTCAAACAATTACAATCCACTGGTGAGTGAAAGCAGTGAATCCCTCCTGGGAGGGCAGGTAAACACCATTCCTGAGTCGAAGAGCTACTCATTGGCCCAGGATAAGGCACAGGATACCTGTAAAGAAATCTGCCCTTTGCTTGTTTGTGGTAGATATGGGAAGACCGAGTGCACCTCTCGCTGCTTGTTCTCTCCCTGAGCAGCATAAGGAAAAGCAATTCCCTTCTTGGGCTTGCAGGAGGGCACACTCAGTATCCTGGGAGATTACATATAATGAATTTTCAGACCTCAACACAGCAGCTGGAATAGCAGAGAAAAGGAGACATCCTTATTATCAAAGACTTCCTTCCTCCAATATTATTCTTGGTTGATGTTTTGCAACAACAGTGTTGCTACTAAACACATTAATAAAAATTAAGCCCAGACTTTAAGCAGGAAGACTGCAAATCCAGCAGTAACACAAAAAATTATCATTCTCTCATATGATCAGCACAAGAGTCTCTGGGTAAATGAGCAAGAATCGGAAAGAAAGTATTTTTATTTCTCCAAGTAAAGAGAGTCACAAGCCCATTTTCTTCCCCTTTCAGGTCATCTTTGCAGGCAGCATCTGCAACAGACCCACGGACTGCTGGCTCCCAGTCCCCAGGGCTGAGCAGCAGGTAACACCAGGAGCACAGCCACGCGTGACAGCCACCTCCACAACAAGCTACAACTGCCTTACTCCAATCAATTTTGCATATTCGGGCCTGTCCCAACTAGCTGCCAGAACCTTTACCCTGAGAACAAATAACTGGGAAATGCCTCAAACTGCATACCAGGCCTTGGGCCAAGGAGGCAATGGGCTCCCCATCTCTGCCTCAGCAAGCATCCCAGGGCTGGGAGAGAGAGGGGTTAACCCAGAGGAACGCAGGATGGTGAGCCAAACAGCGACCCAGGAGTACCAGCAGCATCCTCCTGGGCTCCAGCACTTTGCAGCAAGAGAACATCTGCCTGAACAAAAGCTCCCTGTGCTCCTGCAGCTTCCTTGCAGGCAGGAGGAGTGCCACAGACAGGACTGCAAAACTTCTCCTGATGCTCTGGGGAGACAGGCAGAGTCCGTCACTCTGATCCAGACTGAATCGTGACACAGGTAGGAGACCCAGGACCTGCATTTCTGCCTTTTACTCCAGACTTTCACATACAGTTGGCATCAAGTCCCTCTCTGAATTGGTCACACCGGCAAAGGAATTCCATGTTCCTTGAGGCCACTGCCCTGTCCTCGTGTCTGTGTGTGAGTAAACCTTCAGCACCCACTGAAAACAAGGGTGACAGAGAATCAGTGAGGCTGTCGCACCCCCACAGCAGATACTCCAAACGCTGGCTGAGTGGGAGCTGCTCTCTCACCCCCTGGCCATCCTCACCCTTGCTCCTGGACTTCCAGGACTCCCTGATGTTGCCGCAGGACGCGGGCAGGGCCTCGGAGCTCTCCCTCCAAAGCTCTCTGACAAGCTGTCCGTCAGCACAGCTAAGGGACAGGCACCAACAGCCTGAAGATGGACCGCTGTCACCCTTGTCCCCTGCAGCTGCACCCCTGTGCCTCTGCACTAGCTGAGCGTGGGCGGAGGGGAGTGACACTCGCGGGATACCCACCAGTAGGAGTTGATGATTTTGCAGAAGGCCAGCTCGCAGCACATCTTCAGGTTGCTCTGATGTTCAGGAAGGTCCGAAGAAGAACACTTACTGGGATCCACCTCACAGTTTTCATCTGATTCGTACAGCGCCTTGATAAACTCCCCTGTAAAACAGACAGTTGGTGACGGGTTTTGGAGACGTGAGAGGTGCAGCCTTCAAGCAATTCTGTTCGTAAGCCCCAGTGCCCGAGCAGGGACCTGCCCCCATCACACGGGCTGAACAGATGCCGGGTACGAGAGCAGGCGGCCGTGGCTCCCGGGCAGGCTGGGCCCCAGCCAGCTCTCAGGATCTCCGAGCGGACCCAGAAGCAGCCGGCACTGCCTTGGGAGCTCATAAAACAGCACAGCACACCCTGCAGAAAGGCAGCCGGACTCCTGAGGAGCACGTTTCATCCCTCTTTCCCAGTTGGCAGCTCTGCCTCTGTGGCTATGGGCTATTGCATCAGAACTCTGCTGCCAAAACTCCCGCTTCCTCAGCCTGCCTCGAACCCCATTCCACCAGCTCCAGAGACGCTCCCTCGGGCTAATCCAGTAGGAAGTATGCTGGCAAGTTCTGTAATTATTTGTAGGAGGGCCTGCTACTGCAGACTGTGCCCTGGCGCTGGCCAGTCTGATTCACAGGAGAAAGAGGTAATTAAAGGAAAGAAACAATTTACTTGGTTTATTTTGAGCTGAACATCACACAAAATTAAATTAAAATATTTCTCGGAGTCTCCCTGCACTCCTGTTTGCTGCCTGGCTTCTCCTCACCCTTGCCGAGACTCACACCATGGGCCTGCTTTGCCAGCTCCTCACTCTCATGGCACCTTTCACCCCGGGGCACCCGGGCACAGACCCCTGCCGCCCGGGCTGAGTGCTTCCCACCGCCTCGACAGTGCCCAGCTGGGGGGGGTGGCAGTCGTCCATCCCAGTTAGGGCAGTCGTCCACCCCAGTTAGCCCGCAGCAGTGGCTGGGGAGACCAAGGGACGGGATAACGGGGATTAAGAGGCAGTGTTCAGCTAGGGACCTGCAGGGCAGGGTGACGTTCTGGGAGAAAGGTTTGCTTTGGTTTTCTTCTAATTCCAGTTGGTTTGCTCATCTCCTAATTCCTGACCGTTTTGGCTTTTCCCATCATCCTGTTTTTTGTCCATTCTCGTCTGCATTCCTCCCCTATTGCCAAAACAGATTTTAATTACGTACTGGAGAGCCTCTCCAATGTATTCTCAGCTCTGTCAGGGAGCTCTGGAGCCTCTCTGCTCGCCTGCAGGTGATGCCTGCTGTTATTATCCGGCCCTATTACTTGCTTCTGCTTCACGGTTTAAAGGAATGTGCTATGCCGTATTGTGTTACCTTCTGACACAGATGAATCATTTCACTGATAAAAGGTCTACACAGAATCAGCGCCCCGAACAGCGAGCAAGAACCGCAGGCTCCTCCTGTACTAGACGGAGCTGGCTTGGCAGCATTTGCATTGAGCCCTGAAAGGGGAATATTTCAAAATTCTCTGCCTTCATTAATCTCTTGGCTTTTTAGAAATTTTATGAGGTAATCTACTTACAGACCTGCCTTCAACCAGAAAGCATTACAAGGCAGAAATAAATAATATTCTGTTCCCTATTCATGTGGGCTATCTGTTGGTTTGACTGAATTTGCTCAACGATCTCCCCTTCCTGCAACGTTGTCATTATTACTATTAATAAAGTATTTACGCTTCTTTGCTCCTTGCTAAAATTACCCAAATCCACTAGCAGGAACCCAACATACTGAAAAATGAACACTTCAATAGCAGCTCTGCAGATCGTACTGCTAGGATGTGGATCCAATCTAGCCGCCCTCGGCCGAGGTTCAGACATGATGCTTCAAAGGCAGCCTCTCCCCAGCCTCGTGCTGTGCTGGCTGCGCACAGCAACACAGCAGTTCCTTCCTGACCTGCCCAGAAGCAGAAGCTCTAATTATTTTCATTTGCATCAAGAGAAATATTTTTGGAGCCATAAACATAGCCAGCACTTAAAAAACACCATCAGGAGGGCTCCCAGCACGATCTGGGAGGCAACGCTCATCACTGTAGCTTGGGAGATTTCATCTGACTCACCAGCGCTGCGAGGAACCGGGGGAGCGTCTCTGGCGGGGGTGTGCAATCAGGGAAGGATTCAAACAGCCTCCGTAACACTGCCAGTGCCGAGACAGAAGACTTGGCAGGCAGCATAATGCCTTCAAATATTAATTTGTTATCTTCTCTGAAAGCAGATTAAAGCGCTAACTCAGCGGTGACCTTCACCTGGGAGCAGAGAGCTGCTCGCTGCGGCCGCGGCTGTGCCCCAGGCTGGGACCCTGCTGCCAGAGAAGGCCCCCGGCAGGTAAACGCTGGTGCCCCCGGCAGCCATCAGGGCTCAGCTGATGGTCTCCACCACGCAGAGCACCCTGAGGCTCTGGAGGACTTCTCCGGGTGAGACTTGCCAACGCTCTGTACGTACCTAAGGCATCTTGCAAGTATTTCTGCCCCACCAGCTTCAGGTATTCTTCGATTGCTTTGGTGGCCAGTGTATTCTCCCTGAAAATGAGATGCTCATTCTCACCACAGCGATCAACTTCAGACATCATCAGGTCAGTCAAGAAATCCTGGAAAGCAAAGCCCATGGTGGGTCACCACGCACTGACACATGCTTTGTTCAGCAGAGCAGGCAGCCTCCCCTTCTCCAGAGAGGTCTCACCTTCGTAAGACACAAGAGGGAGCGGAGGTGCTGCGGGTGATCCTGTGTGCGCACGCTGCCTTACCACCAGCCCGACTTCCCTCCTCTTTCTCCCACCTCACAGGGGTAAGAGGAGAAATAAACCTCTGGAGAGTCACAACTTTTGCACCCCAAAAAATGATTCATTCCAGACTTGCACCACATTTCCTTCTCCATCAGTGGCGGTTTCACCTGGGTCTCATATCAGCCTCACATTTTGTGGGTCAAACACTTTCTTCGCTGTTAAACGTGGCTGCAGTTGGGGTCTAACGGCACTGGTTGCAAAACAGGGGAGTACTGAGATGCCATGAGCTGTGCCCCACAGTTAATGGCTGAGAATCAAGCCTGTAATGTGCCCCAAGACGCTCAAATGTCCTATTTCCTTAGTGTTCGTGGAAATAAACAGCACTGCCACAGCGCACATTTTGGGCACATCTTTGGTCTGATGTGCACACAACCAAAGACCATGCAATTTTATAATCCTCTCTGCTGCGGAGCAATGGAAGGGGCGAGCAGGAGCAGACCGCGTGCTGACAGCTGCTCCATGCATCAGTCCGGGCTACTGAACTGCAAATCCTAAAAGGAGAACAGCACTTCGGACCGAGCTCCGCGTCCGCTTCAGCAACAGCGTTAACTGCTCAGAGAGGGTCCCACAGCTCCCCACGCATTCTGCTGAAAATCCACTACGTGGTGTAATATTTAGTGGGCTGTAGCTAGCGTTAATGCAGGAGAAATGCCATGCAGTTTTTAATGCTAACACATATTCAGCTTCTCTCTGCACTGCTAATGGGAAAAGCAGCTCTGGGCCCCTGCCCAGCTCCTCGCTGTGCTGGGTGCTGAGGGCCGACCTCCTCCCACCCAGCACCACTCCCCGGAGGACAACGGGAAACAGGCTGCTGGCACCGGCATTAAACCGCTTACTGTGTCCCCATGCAGGAGACAGAGAGGTGTTGACATACAAATTCATTTCTACAACCAAGGGCACCTTTTTTAAACTGCCTTCCTCTAAAGGAAAATAATCTCCTCAGTGATAACCTTTCACTAAGAAATTCTCCTTCACTTGTCAGGACCGTACCAGCTGTAAGCCGCTCCTGGCAGGGGCAGCAGGAGCCCCTCAGAGCTGCCGTGCAGAGACCCAGGTCCCGTCCTTGCCGTCCCCAAGCAAAGCGCAGCTCCCAGAGCCCCCCAAAGCACTGTGGCCGTGACCCAGCCCGCTCCCACCCAGGCTCGGGAGAGGGGACACTCAGGTCCCACTCCTTGCCAGCAGCTGGCCGGGAGATTTGCAAGAGAGGCACTTAGCTCCACTTTGTTTTTCATATGGACCTCTCTGCATTGAAAGTTTAATCAAGGTTCAACAAAGAGCTCCACCTGAACCCAGCGGTGGCCCATTCCAGACCCAAATAATTTATTCCGGAGGCCGTTCACGACTGCGCTTCTGTCCCAGACAAAGGCAACTCCAGGCAGCAGGCAGGTACGCCTCACCTGAGAAGAGGGGAGGAGGGGGGAAGGCTGGCACCTCCGCAGCACCCGACGGCCCCATCCCTCCCGCCTTCCCACAAGACTTTGACTGGGACCAACGTGCTGCCGTGACCTTCCTAGAAGAGCCTCCAAAAAAGCCAGAGGAGGAGCTTTGGGGAAAAAAGAAAAAGTCACGTCCTTTATTTCTTTAGCCAGATCCCTTCCTCAGATCCCGGTACATCTGCAATGCTCCGGCAGCTGCAGAGGCAAAAATCCCTGCTGGATGCAAAGCACACGCCTCCTCCCACTATTTTCTCTCATTTTGCCCTTTTATCAGCTGAGCTGGAATGAAACGTTAAACCCCTGCTCAAATCCCGTTAGCTGCTATCTGGGTAACTCTATCACCTTTATCTTCCCGGGTCTCTCCCGGGGTACGTTTCAATTCCAAGCCACAGCTCAGGCTGACACAAGGTGCTGGTTCTTAATTAGCAGCCGCTGACCTTGGCTTTGCTTGATTCTCTCTCCTGTCACTTTCCCAACATACTAATTATCTCAGGAACACTGAGTTTTACAGCTTCTCCTAGCCAAGAGTTTGCTTTTTCCCCCCTCTTGTCGGCCGACGACTGGCTGCCGTGGGACGTGGGGCCAAGCTGCAACGCACAACCCAGCTGCGAGCCAGGGCTGCCGAGCGGTGGAAACCCAGGGGCCAAGTTTTAGCCAGCAATAATGTGAATTTTGATGATTTTAGCTGACCTACAGAATTCACTAGAATTTAAAATGAGGCAAAATTCCACCGTGGGACTCAACACAAAGCCAGAGAAGATCCCGCTGAAACCTCCGCTGCGGCCGTTATCCCCTACGGAGCCGCTGCAGCTCGACAGCCGAGAAAACGACCCCTTGTCTCCAAAGTGGAAAGGAAAGCTGCTGAAATCCCAAGGAGCTCCATCGCGGTGTGGCACCCAAAGCTGGGGCGTAACGTGGCAGAATCCAGCCTTGTTACCGGCCAGGGGACGGAGGCGAGAGCCAGGACACCCAACAGCATCCCCCAGGCCAGGGCTTCTCACCGCCCCCCGCAGGTCCAGCCTCCCTAGGCTGCAGGAGGCATCTCAAGGGGCTGTACGAACTGGGCCCAACATACACCAGGGACCAAAATACCCACAGCCAGCGTCCTTGAGCGAGTTCCTCTGCAGAGACCGCTCTGGGCGGCCCAGCGGGGCTCTGTGAGCCGCAGGAAAGGAGCCTCGTCCACGGGTCAGTTCCCACGACATCCTGCAATTCCTCTCCCAGGGCCATCTTCCACATCTTGCCTTCCCTCCGCACAAAAAAGCCACATCAGCTCTGGATCACACGTCTGGTATCTCTGCCTTAAGTACGCCGGCAGCCCGCACTCGGAAGACACAAATGGAATGCAAATACTTGTCGAATCCCTCCGGGGGCCTCACTTACCCACACACAAGGCTCTGAATAAAATGCAATAACTAAAGCCAATAAAACTCCCTGTTTCTGAGCAGCAGAGATCAGCAGGGGGTTGTTTTTAGTTAGGGCTCCTGGCAATGGAAGAAAATAAGATGCTTTATTTCATTACATTGGAGTTGAGAGGGGAAGGAAAAGGTCTACAGTAAAAACTAAGGGCTGTGGCAGCATTCTCTGGGCTTACTCCCCTGTTCATTTCAAGGATATTTGCTTCAGATTGGACACGGCTGAGCCTGTGCAACTTCAGTCACTGCACATATGCCAATAAAGAAGAGCAATTCATAAATAAATAAATACAGAGCATGACAGCATAAGGCAGTACTGGTTTCCAGCACCTTTCACATAAACCAAGCAGGCGCCCACAGCAGCACGTGCTATTCTAAGGCAGCTCCTCCGGCCCTCTAGAAATGCACGCAGGAAAAAAAACAGCGGCAGCCCAGTCCCCGCAGCCGGCAGGAGCAGGCAGAGTCCTCGGCATCACCCCAGGGCTCAAACACCCCACCACGAAGCACTGCCAGCCCCGCAACGCAAAGCCTGTGCTGTTCTGCGGCTCATTTCCCTGCTCCCTCCGCCACAGCATCCCCTGGATGGCTGGCCCCGGCGCTGGCAGCTCCCGGGCTGTGTCACCTCCCGCAGCCGGCCAGAGCCTGGGTTTGCTCCATGCCCCTCACTCTGACCCTCAAATGTCTCCATCCTGATTTCCCTGTAGGTAAATCCTAGGTTTTCAGGTAAAGCCTAAAAACATGTCCATTTCCCCTGGGTCTCCATCTCTTGAGCTTCAGATGCCACCTCCCTTGCCCCACCCGGGTGAATTCATCCTCCTGTCCCAAACCACAACCAAACAGCATCTCGCGAGCGAGGAAACGTCTCCTAACCCCTGCCTCATCCCTCACATGTGCGGCAGTTCACGACGTCCAAGTAAGCCATCTCGCAGCAGGACTGCCTCACGCTGCCGTGGAGGATCCCCCAAACCTTTGCCTGGGGAAGCTGGAAGGAGAATACGGAAACAGGGGCGATGCCCTGGAAAGGAGCACGCTGCAGCCCTGCGCCGCTCCGGGCGAGGTCCCCGCAGGTGGCCGTCTGAACCTGCTGCCCGGGTCAGCCGGCATCCGCATCAGCACTGGCCCAGGGCCCAGCTGCCCTGGGGGTGGCCTGAATTGGAAAAGGTTCACTGAAAAGTGAAGTCCACCAACAGAAAAACCAACATCTGCTCAAGAAAACAATCTTTCATTGCCCGTGTCAATAGGGCCAAGGAAGCGGACTAATTGCATTGCTCAAACACAAAAAATGGGAAGAAAAAGCTTCTCCACAGGGGGTGCAGCCAGAGCAGAGAAGACAGCTAATTCAGTCACACGTCCGATCAGCAGCTGACAGCCCTGCCTGCCCAGAGCACCAGCACCCCTCATCGGGCTGGGGGGCCGAGCACCCGCAGCGCTTGAAACTTCCAGTGCTGGCACTTGCCAGTGCCAAGGAAGCCCACGCCAGCCTGGGGAGGGGTCTGTTGATATCAAGTACCCCAGTCCCGGAGGGGTTCAAGGTGCCAGTCCCTGAGCGCGGGGGGTGTCACTGGCCAGTGCCTGCCCCCTCCAGTTCCTCAGCCCAGGAGGCAGAAAGACGGAGCCAGCCGGGTGCCTGGCATGGCTGCGGTGGGAGCAGGAGTGTCCCCTAGGCAAAGGGGGGCAACAAGCAACACAAATCTTGCAGGACATACCCTGTCCACACCCAGGAAGGATTTAGCACCTCGCCATCCTGAGGAAGGTCCTCCAGTCCCAGACTCTCAGGGACGTGTCCACAGCCGGAGCACGTGGGGTGCCGTGGGGCTGATGAGCCCCGCGGCCCCACAGACGCCGCTTGGGTCATGCACCCCTCTGGGCTAGAGCTGATTGCTCCCAATATCATAACTGACTGATGGGCAGATTGACTTTGAAATAATAAGGTTCTCCACATCACAAGCCTGAT